ATATTTGTGAAACATCCTCATCAGGTGATTTTGCTGTATATTCAATTATTTTTGATTCGAAAACACTTTCATCAAAATACTTAATATAATAACAAAACCCTGATGGCTTATGTTTATGATAAGGTGTTGTAAAACTGGCAAGCAAGTTGAAATGTTCTCTGTAAAAGCTTCAAAGTCAGAATAAATTACAAATGGATGCCGCATTCCTTTATTAAAAGTTTTAAAAAATAAAAAAGAACCTTCAGGTGGCATTTCCATTTTTATGCATTCATGGTTGCAGAATTCTTTGTGTTTTTTTTAACGATAATTCACATTGAAAATGATTAAGACAACGATCACAAAAATATATTTTAGATTTGTGTTTGCTTACTTGTGATGCCAATAATCTGCTTAAATTCTCAATCCAACAATAATGATTAGTTTGTTAATCGGATATTAATAAAAGTCTGATTATCGAGTTTTCACATTTACTGATTCTAAGAAAATAAACTTCTTTCCCGTCAAAACCAAATACATTAATTGCAAAAAGGTTTTGTTTCTCAAATTTATCAATGTCTTTCAATGAAACTGGACACTCGATTCCTTTCCAATCAAATTTTTCTGAATTCTCTTTCATTTCCTTTGTTAAACGTTGAGGATCTTTATCTTTTTGAAATACAGCAGAAGTTACTGCCCATTTGAAACACTCATTATCATTTTCATTTTTCACATCGATAACTGCTTTCTTTTTGGCAAGAAACTCTGGAAGTTTAATATAAGAACTTCCAGAAATTGGTTGGAAAGGATTAATCGATATGTCAAAATATTCAATTCGATTGAACTGCCAACCTGAACCTTCATTTTGAAACTGATCAACTAATTCGAGTAAACGAGCAGTCATAACATCGAATATTTTAGTGAAATTAGTTGCCTCAGTTATAATTTCCTCAAAGGAACGAAAATATCCTGTGTTTTCTTCCAACTCTTGAGCAGGATTATTTTTAATGAATTTACAGGAAAGAATAAATTTTATCTTGATCGGTTTCTTTTCTTGGTTGATTAAATTATTAACTTTTGGTTTAATATCTTTGAAAAAAACGTTTGGATCTTGACCTTCTTGACCATCTATCCTAATCGTTTTCAAATATCCATTTAAAGCTGTTTCTTTCTTATAAAGTTTGTTTTTTTCGAAAATATTCTCAACCTTATCCTTCAATTTCTCAACTCGTTCATTTACTGTCTTCTTAATCTTTTGTGGAACAAATGAATTTATCCAATCTGAAAATTTTGATATCTCTTTATTCACTGAGTTGGAAGCCTTCTCAGATAATTATTTAAGTGATTTAATTCCAGATTGTGGAAGTCTTGGAAATGGAATTGGTCTCGTTATTGTTCTTGGAAATGGAATTGGTCTCGTTATTGTTTTTGGTTTTGGAATTGGTATCGGTTTTGGAATTGGTTTTGGTTTAAGAACTTCAACGAGTTTTGCTTTATTCATTTGATAATATTTTGGAATTTTTTTCTGTTTAGCTAAAGCTTTTAATTCAGAAACTTTCATTCTTTACAGATCTTTTTGAGATTCCATTTTATATATATATAAAAAAATAATGTTTTTTGTTTTAAAAACGAAACGAAAAACATATAATTTTCCCAAAATGATAACAAAATTAAAAATTAAAATTATCTCTTGAAATTTAAGAAATAAATTATAGTAGATAGGAAAAGCAGACTTCTAACGCATTTTGATAAAATTAAAAATTAACTCTTGAATAATTATAAAATAAAATTATCTTATGAATAAGGGATAATCTTATTTTATAACTAGTAATACGTGACTCGCAGGTCCTCGCGAAGCTGGAATGGGGATTAATTATTTTTGGGAGGTGAGGGTGATAACCAAGCCTTAGAGATAGACTGGAGTTCATTAGTCTAGTGACATCTGTGTGTACGCCTTTCCTCTTCACAATCTTGTTTTGGAAAGTTATTTTATCTCTTATGTACTGGAAAAAACTGGCTTTCAGCAATTTTCAAATCATAGAGCTGACTCAAAAATAGTAAGACTTCACTCAAGAAGACATTTTAGATACTGTACCTTTTAGTGGCAATTTACTCAATTATTCCTGGAATTTCTGGTAACATAGGAGGATTTCTTGTCACGCAACACTCAAACACATTGACAACAAAGTGACATTTTCTAGTAAATGTTTGAATTCATTTAGCTGAAAAACGTTTTACATATCAAAAATAACTTCCTAACATACATAAATCTCTTAAATTATGACATTCTGCCGAATGGCCTCGCTGAAAACAATTTATATTAATTCGTAAAAATTCATAAACAATGAAATCTGACACGTACTGAACTGTACTGCTCAATTCAATTACAACTTGGAAAATAAAATACACACCATTTTTCTTCACAAACGAGCTTAAAATACATAGAAATCAGAACGACGACGGATGACATAAAAGCATTGATATTTTAGTTCTTATCATTTATGTGAATATCTGCCTATAAAAACAAATAAATTCCAGAACAGACCTTGTATCAGCTGATTCAAGTTGTGGATACACGCATCTTCTGAAGACGACAAATCTCCGAATTCTGACCCGAAGTCAACCTCAAAATTACTATCCCACACATTTCGAAGAACGTCTTCAGCAGAAGTACATGTTCTTTGAAGGCGCCATCGAAGCAAGAAAATCGAATTCAAAGTCGCTCAATCGTCTTGGCGTAATGACGCGAACTGGAACTATTGCTTGTGGTTTTCCGTTTGCATATCTCCCCCGGCCTTCGACCTGTAATTGTGGGTCCTGTCCTGCTGAATTCCAGTGGAACTTGAAGGAATTGCGGTCAGATTGAACATTTTCTCGAGCACAATTTTTCTCTCTTCGACCCTCCACAAGAAAACACAGAGTGCGCCCGCGTTCGCAACCGGTTATAGCCGCTGATTTGTTGTTGTTGCCTAGTAACGGTCCGGTACCATCGAAAATAAATAAAGAAATATGACCGTAAACGCCATGCGAGAATTTGATCCAGTCGAGCTCTTGGGGGACAACATTATAAACCTCGCTTCGCGAGGAATTAATTAAGGGATAATTTTTAATTTTGTTGAAATGCGTTAGAGTCTGCTTTTTCTATCTACTGTGTTGGTACATCTTAACGTTCCATGATTGTTTTGGAATAATTTTGTATCGATTTACACTTTTATGGATGTCATGAGGAAATAGTGAAGATGGCGGATTTGATGGCGTCAGTTGAAGATATATAACACCACAATCAACAAATAACCATTCTATCTTGTAGAGAAAGCTTATGGCTATCTATTAAAGGCTATGATTTGGATCTGTCTTATATTAATGCAAATCCAAAAGAGGGAGGGGGAGGTACATCAACCCACCTTGTACGTTCATGACTTTGGCATGGTACGACTTTGCATGTACGTCCGAGAGTTACATTCGTATTCCCTACATACCCCATTTGTCTATTAATCAAACACAGTTGGTTTCTTAAGGATGTCTAGTATGTATTTCAAATGTAACTCGATTATACTTAAATAAAATCCACATTAATAATTGTGGTCCATGGACAATGCATTTGAAAACGACAAAAAGGAATGCAAGATTCTATATTGTTCACGAGTTACAAGAAATCTGACATGCTGGGGAAATAACAAATGATAGTTCTCTTTTCAAACGTTAGACATACCATTCATAATACGTACAGCAATAAACAGCTGGTGGTCCCTGTAAAGGTTTCGTTTGATACAAAGGTTATCTTGTTATTTTGCAGAAACCTGACAATCAATTGCTAAGAGTTACCATAAATTTCAATGCTACGCGACCTACGAAATCAAAATTCACTTGGAAATAGACTTCCGTCAATCATGTGTACCTAATATGGCTTTTCTCAATCGTGCACGCACGATTATAATGTACTGAAAGGCCTTCTACTTTTCCACTCCGCTACCGCCTTTTGTGAAGGGAAGGACTCTTCTGAATCATTACTAACTAAGCCAATATAAAGATTTTAAATTCAAAACGGCTGAAGCATTCTGCTTAAAAGATGATTATTTCATTCAAATTTGTAAACGGAATTATGGAATTATTCGACCATAATACGACTGACTAGACATGCCCAGGACGTTATTATACAAATTTGTGTCGTGTATAAAAAAAACGCAATCGTAGTCAGTCGGCTGTTTTTTGACGTTTCTCTGTTTGTAGACGACGACAAAGGATCCAGAAAAGTTATTTCCTTTGCAAGTAGCCGTAGCGATGTGTGAAAGTAGAAAGCAGTGGCCTTTCAGAACATTACAATCGTGCGTGCATGATTTTGTCGCACGGCAGGAGAAAAGCCATATAAGGTACGCATGATTGACGGAAGTCTATTGCCAAGTTAATTTTGATTTCGTAGGTCGCGTAGCATCGAAATTGATGGTAATTTACATAATTTTACTTCTGGACCTCTGTAGACAAGAATACTCGAAGATTATTACAAATGAGACAAGACAGGAATAAAACGACTGAAAAGCTACTCTTATAGCTAGAAATACAGTTCATGTCAAAATCTACTAAAACCACTATTTGCGATACTTACAGATGCGTTAACTCGTTCAAACAACATAAGGCATTTGATAAATGCTTAATCATGTTGTAGGAAAGATCTCTAAGGGGTAAAATAATATATCATTAGTATACAAAACCTCCCAGAATTGCACAAGAGAATCTGGGTAGGTTTAATACGGCTTTCTTTGCACATCTTTTATCTTGGCATATTTCTTTCCATATTTGGAATAAAACACGCAATTGGCTTAAATATGATATATTGATAGGAACTATGTTAGTTAAGAACAGCGGAAAATACGGGAGCATTCTGTTGAAAATTAATATATATTCCTGAGGGGAACATGAAGCATACGCATACACGTATAGATCTATTGTTCTCTACAAAACTAGGAGCCAGGAAAAATTCAGAAACATATCAATTCACAATTTACCTTGCTCCGTTCCTAATGTGTTGCATCATAGTTCAGATAGTACAGCATCGCGCCGATAACGCGGAGGTCATGGGTTCAAATCTTGTTGAAGCCCTGAACGCACTATAAAAGGCTAAGCTTCTCCTACTTTCCTCATACTTTCCATCTAATTTGCATTTTAGTATTGCACGTGGAGGCTAGAGCTTTGTAATGTTCTTGTATTCCTTTACAATGTTTGTATCCACTATGAACATAAAACCTTATAATGTCTCAAATTTCCTCGTTTGCTCTCAGTAAGATGTGAATTAAAACTTTTAGAACAGATAATTCAAAATTATGTACTTCAAATATGAAACTTTCATGACCGAGTTTGAATTTCGCGGGTTGTGTCAGCGTAAACACGCACGTTAGTTATGATAATATTCTATGTTCTTTTGCTGTTTCTTGCACACCGAAATATTTCAAGAAACTAGTCATTATTCCGTGGGATTTAGAATGATTCATAGAAAGAAAAACGAAACATTATTTATTATCTACTGACGACTAATTTTTGAGCTATTGTCTCGTTCGTTGTTGATTGACAAATGAACTCGAGGTACCTTAGGTACCTCTCCTTTTATAGTGCGTCTTCGTATTTTAACAGATTTATCAGGTTGACAAACACTAATAATGTAAAGATAAATATCTGCGAAAATATGTAATGCAATAACTAAAACGACAATAATGATCTACTAAGTATATTGGGTCTCACTTTTTTAATGAGCGTAAACCCAAGCAAGAAGGTTAGACGTGCTATGCGCTTCGTTTCACTTATTGACGGACCGTTATATTTTTTTAGGGGGGGGGGATAAAAAATATTCGTCAACAAACATTTTTTAATTCATGCGCATATTCAAACTATTTTTTTAGAGACCCTTCTTCAAATATATCTGTCATGTTTGCAAACAATTTATTTTGTCTTTTTAGACTCTGCCAACAACTTTTTCAATACTTTTCACACACCCCACCTCCCCCCTTCCCCCCCCCCCCCCCCCCCCCCTCCAAAAAATAATTGACCATCCCTTACCGCGTTCAAGCACACCAAGGCTGGGTCAAATACTTTTACTGGGAAAGTAATTTATTTGGTATATTTCTAGGGACAAAAATGGCAATGGATCCAAATTTAGGCCACAGTTAGGCAGTTTCAACGTCCTCGATATTTTAAGTTAGTATTAGAGCTTCTACTAAGAAAATAGCCAACATTATAGGAATTGGTGGCGGTGTTCAGTGAAATCATCAAAACAGAAAGGCTTTTAATATGTAAGCCAAATATTTTCAGCATTTTACGTTTGAAATGACCATGACGATAATAATAAATAGTTGTTTAAAAGTTAAATTCATAATTATATTAGGTTTCATTTTTCAATGAGTATAAACCCATACAAGGTTTGCAGTGCAGTGCGCTTAGTTTCACTTTGAGATATTCCATATTTATCAGATTGGCAAACACTCGGTCAGACAGAAATGTAATGTTGTTTGAAGACAAATATCTGCACAATTACGTAATGCAATAACTAAGACTATAACAATTAACTATTTTGTTGAAGTAATTAAATTATGATAATATGATTCATTTTTCAATGAGTATAAACCCATGCAATGTTTGCATTGCAGTGAGCTCAGTTTCACTTACAGCGTCCATAGATTTGTCAGATTGGCAAACACTCTGTCGGGTAGATATGTAATGGCGTTTGAAGACAAATCTCTGCAAAATTACATAATGCAATAAGTAAGACGATAATAATTAACTATTTTGTTGAAGTAATTAAATTATGATAATATGTTTCATTTTTCAATGAGTATAAACCCATGCCATGTTTGCAGTGCAGTGCGCTTAGTTTCACTTACAGCTTCACTAGATTTATCAGATTGGCAAACACTCTGTCAGGTAGAAATGTAATGGCGTTTGAAGACAAATATCTGCAAAATTACGTAATGCAATAAGTAAAAAGATAATAATTAAGAGCCAATTTCTGTAATTATCGCGAATGCGGCGTCAGTCGTGAAATTTTGGATTTCTTCATATTTTGCCCAAATAACCTCTATAGTGAGTTATTTTCGAAATACCATTCAAAGGTTCAGGAGCGCTTTCGTTTTTTCGAAATCGAGAAAAGTTTGAAAAACGCAATTTTGGCTTCCAGCCGCTTCCGAAATTAGGCGAAAATGATGCATTTTGTTTTCGCTCGTACAGATGAACGCGATAACATCTACCGCTGTACTTTGGGCAAATCATAACCCATCTCTTGCTCTTTCTAAATCACTGAATTATTGTGGGAAAGCTGCCGATATTATACTGTTTTGGGCTGTTACAATTGCCCCAGTTGTAACGCTTGAGCGAAAGCGCTAAATTTAGCTAACTTCCACACCATCGAAAGTCCATTGGTACATAGAATTTGAAGTCGAAACTAAAATTGTCTTAAAGCACATCCTTTATATTTTGTTGTGTGAAAATTTCTACCGCGGCCCGACAAAAGTATCTCGTCGAGAAAAATAAACGTAAAGTGTATTTTGGCACTTTGGACATTCACGAAGCGAACAATGGCCTTCCCTGCTCTGAACATGACCTTCATTAAAAACTAAAAATCAACCAAAAGGAAACCTTTTTCGGAATTGTAGGTGCATCAAAATGCTTTTTTACACAAAACATGACAAAACTGATGTCTATCTTTGATAAAGAATAATATTCTGTCAACACTTGTAGTAAATAATAGACCCGTCTGAAGTGTAACAAATTATGTCATTCGACGCTGTAACGCAAAGCACACGTACACGCTACTCAAACGGCTTTTTCTGTTCGACTATTATTCCCGAGGTGAAAAGTAAACTGAATAATTCTAGTACAATAGTACATGTTCTCGTTTGCCTCCATTTTAAACAATATTATTGATTTAATATTGGGAATTATAATTTCTCAAGGCGAGCCGCTTCCATCAATTCAGATTTCAGTAAACATACTACTATGCGACAACTGCAATGGAGGCCGAAGACAAGCGCACATTTTTGAGTAATATTCCACCAGAAGTAGCTTTAAGTATTGTTTAGATTCTAGCAAACACAAACAATCGGTGTTATCAAAGGTTTCATACGAGTGGCAATTTAAATAAACGCGGCTTTTGAATGAAACCCAACTGAGACATTGAACATTCCCTGGAACATTTCTATAAAAACACGATAAAAAACAATGAGAATTTCAATCTTACCCGTCTGTTAGTAATTCCTTGTGAAAATATTGTGACTCCATTACTTCTGTTTCGTAATATTGGTTAACCTTCAGTGGAGTTATTCCCGCTCCGAATGAAAAGGCTGTGACATGATGTAATCTGAGTGTTACAATAACATTGCGTGACTCTTTCCGTGCGGAGCCTGGGAATCAACATTGATTTTCCAGCCTCCCCACACCCACCTTTTGATTTATAACAATTAGTTTGAGGAGAGATTTGACTATTTTTGTTGGTCTGTCCTGCTGGCTCTAAGGGCTAGTGTTGACAAAAGAGCGTTCAGTTCTAGTTCGGGTTTTTGCATTTCATGCTGGTGGTCTCCAAACTGAACTACATATAAAGGAAGTTTCGACAGGCCCATTGGCCAATTCAGTGAAAAGTATGGGGAGTGAATACATGCCCGGTGCGGGGGTAGCCGGAGTGAAGGTTGACATTTTATTGTTCGAAAGGGGTGGGCGAGGGGTCAAATATTTTCAAACATGCGGACCTCCAACGCCCCACCCCAACCCCCAGTTGTGCGTATGTGGTCGGTGCAGAAGATTCTTGTCCGTTAGCTAAAATAGCTTCAGTCTAGACAGTCTCTCTGCGGCAGTTCTTTCGCGTGGAGAAAATAAAGAGGTAAGGACAGTCAATTCCAGCAGTGCCCATTCCCCGCGCTCCCCAGGCCAATCCCCTGGCATACCGTAAATGATCTAATAAACGCCCACTCTCAAATAAACGCCTCGTATCTAATAAATGCCCACCCCCCCCCCCCACCCCCCCTCCCCTGAGGTGTAAAGTTTGTATTGGACGCTCCACTCTAATAAACGCCCCGTGTCTAATAGACGCCCCCCCCCCCCCCCCCCCCCAAGAATCGCCTCAAAAACCGAGGAAACGCTCCATAGAGTAAAATCACGCAATTTATTTAGTTTCTTGCTTGCTTGGTTAACAATGGCTTGCGAATTGCATCTTGTTCAACCTCACCAGTAATGACTCGACCTTTCCAGGTCATTACTGACTCGGACATCGAAGAGGCCAACGATGCCAACACCCACCCCCCAGTTGTGCGTATGTGGTCGGTGCAGAAGATTCTTGTTCGTTAGCTATAACAGCTTCCGTGTAGACAGTCTATCTGTGGCAGTTTTTTCGCGTGGAGAAAATAAAGAGGTAAGGACAGTCAATTCCAGCAGTGCCCATTCCCCGCTCTCCCCGGGCCAATCCCCTGGCAAACCCACGGGCCGTTCAAATTCCCCACGGTCATCCCAAGAAAGAAGGCAAATGCAATACCTCTCAAGTTTAAAATTAATGGAAAGAGTCAAGACGCAGAGAAATATAAATATATTTGTATTTTATAGCCAGTGAACAGACATTGCAAAACGGCCAAATATATATATATATATATAAAATATCCACAAGCTTTTCTAGCAATGGCTAGACTAGCCATTTTGAAGGAACTTCTTGCCAATAAAATCAGCCGTGATAGATGCCATGTTTAAACCGAAGCCATGTGGCTGTCAAACGCCCCGCCCCGGGCAGAGAAATCCGTAATTCAGTGCATGTGTAGGATCCGCGAATATTATCTAAATCCGATCCGAACCAGTGATCCGCAAATCTGTCCACTTACACTTCACTACAATTAGACCTACAGCGCCAGTAAGGACAGTAAGTAAGTGTCCGTCCGCGTTTGCGTTTTTTTCTAGCAGTGCCCATCTTCCCGGGCTATTTGCATATGTTGTAATCCCGAAGTGGGGGCATCAGTAGTTTTATCTCTGCCCGGGACGGGGCGTTTGACAGCCACATGGCTTCGGTTTAAACATGGCATCGTTCGCTGATTTCAGTATTGGCAAGACATTTCTTGCAGCATGGCTAGTCTAGCCATTGCTAGAAA